AATCGTTTGATTTTTTTTAAAGATTTACTAGGTGAAACCCGTCAAAGTCGACAGTTACTGTTGAGGTTGCAAGCAAGATCGTTTGACTATAAATCGATAATAAATACCTCCATTTTTGAAAAATTTGTGTTGTTCGTGATTTAGCTGTGTGCTTACAGGTACGTCCGATCTTATTAATCAATAAATCAAATGGAAGCTGGTATTTAACTGAAGGTTCTTAGGTCAAAATTAATAGAATAACGTAATTAGAATTAAGTAAAGATATCTAAAACTAAATTCCAATCCAAGATATAATCAAACCTATATTTTCTGATTGAGCTATACAGTATCTTGAACTTAACTGATTAAAACTATCAATATCTCAAGTGATAGTCTTTGAAGTATTTTAAGACCAAGACATATTAAATAACTGAAATAAAAATATGGTTACGTATCATTGATTGCAGATAAGTACTAAAACGATTGTAATTATTGTTGATTCGTGATTCAGCAGAGAGCTAAGCCGACTCGGAAAAGAAAAACCTATAATTTGTATAGATGGCAATAATTGGTTTACCAAAATGCATAATCTAAACATACGATACATGTGTTAATAATTCAACAGCTTATTGTTATATCGTTATCTAACTGATTTTTCTTTGATTAAATGTTGTTAACAATTTGGATTTGTGTTTAAAGTGGGTTTCTTATGTTAAGTGTGTGATACTAATATTATGTTCTGTACAGTTTATTTTAGTGAGAAACTGGTGTATTGATTTAATAACCATTATTTTACTAGATACCGTTGTATTTAACCACAACGGGCACTGTTGCTATTTATAGTAGGGAATAAGTAAGTAATAAGGTTTAACAATTATATTGGGATATGTAGGCAAAGATCAGGATTTTTGGAATTTGTGGCTAAAAAATGATCCCCATGTTATTCTTATGGGGAAAAATGTCTAAAGTGGGGTATCTTTGTCCTATTGCCACTACTGTAATTTTTGTCAGATTTTGATGAAATTTGGCTTGAAGGTCTTATGGTAAAATCTAGGCCAGAGACCGATTTATTTTTTAAAATGCAGCATGTCTGTGAACACGACGACTCAAGTAATTTTTGTCTAATTTTGATGAAATTTGGCTTGAAGGGCGGGACAAACTAAAATGAGTTCGCGAACCAGCATGATTGGACCATGGGAACAGGGTGTTATGGGGAACACACATTTATTTGCCTTTTCATATTTGATGAAAACAATTTCCAAAATTCGAACTCTTCTTCAAAGTCCTTTTTATCACCATTAAACACAAGACCAAAGCTACCTTAATAAACCAGTATTCATTCACAAGCAATTATATGTTTTCTTACTTTAGCAGAGTTAAGCCTCTGCAGTGATTCGAATGATTTATTGAAAATAACATCAACAAAGGCAAACAAAGACAAACAACAAACTGTTTTTTACACGAAAGATATGGCGTACAGGGATATCTATTCTGACACTTAGATATATTTCTTAGTTTGTTTAAATATTAGAATAATTTGTTTTATATTATTGAGTTTTTTAGGGACTTATGTCCCTAAAAGCCACTAGTTCTATTAAAAACACATTTTACCCTCCCTGTAGCAGCCAACCTAGTTACTCGTTAAACCATATGTTATTAAAATAAGATAAGTTGAAAATAAAATCAGGCAAATGCAAATTCGCTTAGTCTGTAGGTTTGGTGCAGCGGCTGTATTTATTTAATTAAGCCTACCAACTGAAAAAAAAACTTATGGTGAAAAGGTTCCTATTAAAAAAGCAAAACTAGATGATGTATAAAACATTATGTGCTAGAAGAGTTCAGACTATTTATATATAACAGCATTTCAAGGCTGTTTTTCACACCGTTTGTTCTGATGTTCGCGGGGCGAGTTTACAAGCTACACGCCGGCTTTTTTACACGCAGCTAGTAAAATAGCTCAGTGTAAACGACGTACTCGCTCAAAAGCTGCTTGTAAAAAAGCTCTAAAAAAAGTTGACGCTACCACTACTTTACTCGCGCCTTTTTTTCACTTAACCTTTTTTGCAGGTTAAGTGTAAGAAAGGGCTATGTGGCCCTAACTTTGCCTGTTGACATAAAGGATTTTCATTTCATTAATTTTTTTACACGCCAACTCGCCAGCTTTTGAGCGAGTAGGCGTAAGTAGCCCAGTGTGAACACAGTTGCTTGTGCTTGTGCGCATGTTATTCAAAGATGTCGGAGGATTTCGTTCAAGCTAGCTACTGAGCGAGTGCAAAAAGCATCGTGTGAACGACTACAAGCGCACTCGCCGACTCGCCGGCGTCTTTCTACAAGTCTGCGAGTTGGCGAGTGGACAAGCTCCGTGTGAACGAATACACTCACACTCGCCAACTCGCCGGCTTCTTACACGCTGGCGAGTAGCTTGTAAACTCGCACCGTGTGAACGAGGCTTAAGATGATATCATATTTTGATATTTTAATTTTAAAACATGTGTTCAATAAATTTTCCTTTTGACACAATATAGTTTTTTTTTAATAAAAGGTATACTCAAATAATTTTGTCTATTTTGGGAATTATATAATTTTTATATGTCTAGCCTACTTAAAGTTTTTTCACGCTGAATCCAAAATTTACCGCTAAAATGAACCTTAGATTCGTAGTTTTAGCCTTCGTCTTACAGCCACTTAGGAATCTCTCCGAAAAAAAACCTGATTGCATATGCGTGAAAAAAGCTGTAAGTGGACATATCATAATTACGTCTTTTCCCAATGACATGAAGTTTAAAATCTTAAGATTCAGTATGAATTCAATGTGTATTTAATGAAATTTAATAATATCTTTCAATGATATATTTGTGGTTTCTGATATTTTTGTGGTATTTGTGTATATTTGTGGATCAACAGAACTTTGTGGTTTCTGGTTTTCTATCCCACCTGAGACAATGGGCACATTTTTCTCAAACTAGCCTCTGCTTGATGAATGAAATCTGTTACTTGCGTCAAAACCATTGAGTGATCCATGTTAGTGTGAGGGTATGTTGGTACCATTTCATCATGAGTTTCCGCCAAAGCCAAATTAACGTTACCTTGTTCGGTCCCATTTTCCATGTTGGTGACAGGGTTTGTGGTGGGTACCTCATTGTAATCAGTGAGTTTGACTTGTTTCTGGCCAGACGGTTCTACCTTTGTCATTGTTGGTGCAGAAACCGAGGAATAGTCATTTTCGGCCAAAGCCAAATCAATGCCACCTTGTTCTGTCCCATTTTCCATGCCTGGGTTTGTTATTTGTCTCAGATCAACAGAACTTTGTGGTATCTGGTTTTCTATCCCACCTGACAATGGGCACATTTTTCTCAAAATAGCCTCTGCTTGATGAATGAAATCTGTTACTTGCGTCAAAACCATTGAGTGATCCATGTTAGTGTGAGGGTATGTTGGTACCATTTCATCATGAGTTTCCGCCAAAGCCAAATTAACGTTACCTTGTTCTGTCCCATTTTCCATGTTGGTGCCAGGGTTTGTGGTGGGTACCTCATTGTAACTTGTATCAGTGAATTTGACTTGTTTCTGGCCAGACGGTTCTACCTTTGTCATTGTTGGTGCAGAAACCGAGGGATGGTCATAGGCAGCAGGCACAGGGGAGGGTTGCCCAGGAAGAACTGGATTTTCCCGATCAAAGCCGCCAACTGGTCCACCTTGTAATCTCTCCTGAATGAGCTGCAGCTTTCCTTTAAGACCTCTGATCAGTCCTTGAAATTGTTTTGCATTATACCCATCTTCAATAGAAGGTTCCATTCCTTCTCTGGGATAAGTAACTTTTACAATTCTCCTCTTCAACAAGACACCTTGACTCAAGTGAGAACCAAGTTGAGGAAACTGAGTGGGTGTGAGATTGCCCGGAGCAATACTTCTTGTGGTTGGTGAAGAATAATCCTGTGGCTGATTAACCATGGCCATTGTTTGCATATCAAGTAAATATTCTGTGAATGCTGTATCACACTTTTAAACTGAAGATTAGATAACAATAAAAACTGAAATTTTGAACTCTTGCTTGATAGTATTAGATCTTGTGGAACAAAAGCCCTGTCCCCTTGTTCCTTGACTTGGAATTTATAACTTGAATCTTATTTTGTGTAATTCTTGTATTGTTATCTGATATAAATTATTACCATGGTTACAATGAATAACTTTGCAATTACTTTTTACAGCTACAGTTTGGTTGCTATCAAGTTTTTTTTGTTCCCTCAATACTAAAATTCACTGGAATGTTTTAATTTTAAACCTCGCCCCCGCTTCAATTGTACAACAACACTTAAATATAACAAATTGGGGTTTTCATGTCTAAATGATTGTTGCAATTAAAATTTGGCATTTCAATGTTTTGAAAATAAATAAAGAAAGAAAATTTAAGAAAACTCTATATCATGGCCCGGGCGTGTGAACACGGGCGTTCACTTAGCCCGATATTGATGCTTTGCAAACTCATTCAAATTTATCCTGCCCTACATCTTCAAGCCAAATTTAATCAAAATCTGACAAAAATTACTAGAGCAATCGCGTTTATGGACACACACACACACACACCCATGTATATATAACTATATATATATACAATAATTTGAATGAATAATGTTTTTGGCCTATGGGGACATAAAAATAAATAAGTAAATCGGTCCCGGGCCCAAGTCTTACCGTACCACCTACGGCAATAGCTACAATATCTACAGGGTGTCCATAAAAAAACGTTTCAGGACTTTGGGAAATGAATCATCATACTAAAAGGAAGAAAAAGTGTAGGTATGTCCGAAAATGCATATTTACCCAGATATCCGCCATTTCGTTTTTGTTCTATTTCTTATACAAGAATATTATTCACACATCTTGCTTGAACAAACTCTATTTTCAAAACTCAACCAATGTTTTCAAAAACATCTGACAACAAACATATTTAAACACATGATAAAAAGAACAGACTTAATACAACATCCCGCTTCAAGATGTCCACATCTTTATGAACCTCACTACCGCCTCGGTTTCTTAATGGACCTTCCGTAACGGGTTACTGTGCCAGCTCCTGGACGATCACGTGAGTTGCATGGACGATTAAGGACCATGGATGAACAGTTTGAAAGAATTCCATCTCCTCCGTAGTACGGTGCAGGAACTAAGAACTTCCTGTTTCGGCAAATAGTTCTCTTGTCAGTTTCCACAAGGTAGGAACGTGGTTCGTTCAATTTCCTGACTACCTTACCGTGTCGACGTAGATCTGTGATCCATACCATGCTTCCAACTTCTAATTCACTTAAACCACTCGCTCCATGTCGTTTATCAAATTGTATCTTGTACTTATTCTGGTACTTATTCTCCCTCTCAAGAAAATTCTTATTTTCCACAGGATTTCCAACCAAAGTAGATGGAAGATTGTCTCTTAATTTCCTTCCAAACATAAGTTCAGATTGGGAAAAGCCGGTTTCAAGAGGTGAGGTCCGGTAAGAAAGTAGGGCAAGTTCAAATTTATCCTTGTTTTTCTTCATTAGCCCTTTTGCTACTTTCACAGCTGCTTCAGCTGCCCCATTTCCCTGATGGTGGTGGGGACTACTTCTGAATGTGGAGAACCCCCACTCCTTTGCAAACAATTTAAATTCACTTGAGTCAATATGGTGAAATTTTTTCCCACTATCTGAATAAACACGTTGAGGAATTCCAAAACTTGAAAATGTGGTTTTGCAAACCCGAATCACATCTGAAGCCCTCATTCGATGCATTTCCTTGACTTCAAAGTATCTTGAGTAGTGATCCACGATAACCATATACCACTTGTCTTCGTGTTTGAACAAGTCAACAGACACATTTTGCCACGGGTAATCCGGGACAGTTCTCGGAATCAATGGTTCACTGTGATTAGTTGAGTTCTGAATACACACTGGACACAATTTGATTTTCCTTTCTATTTCTTGAGAAATTCCAGGCCACCACATGGTTCCCAAAGCACGTTTCCTTGTTTTTGTGATTCCCAAGTGTCCACTGTGAAGCCTCTCGAGCATTTCCGCTCGTAGTTCTTGAGGTATTATCATCCGAGTTCCTCGAAGCAATAGCCCATCAATACAACTTAACTCGTCTTTCACATTACAGTACTCTTGAATCTCATTAGGTAAACTTGATTTTACAGGCCATTCGTCTAAAATTTGTAACTTAAGTTGTGCACAGATTGGATCTCTCATTTGTGAGTGAAGTACCTTTGTCACATTTTCATCTGTAGTGTTTATACTAATCAGACTGATTTCGTGGACGAAGGCTTCCACTTCTTCGGTCAATTCGCCATCTTCGTCAGCCGGAATAGGACTTCTTGATAGTAGATCTGGTATGGCAAGGTCTTTTCCTGGGGTCTAGGTCATGCGATAATCGTATCTCATCATACGCATTCGGAACCGCTGTAGCCTCGGTGAGAGCTCGTACAAATATTGTGTTTTGAAAATTGAGACAAGCGGTTTGTGGTCGGTCTCAATTGTGTACATTTTACCCATCAGGAAACATTTCAAACGGTCACTTGCCCATGTGCACGCAAGCGCTTCTCTCTCAATGTTACTGTAGTTTTCTTCAGCAGGCGTTAGAGTCCGAGATATATATGCCACAGGTTTCTTGTTTTCTCCTTCAACTTGAAGTAAAACCGCTCCAAGACCTTTTTTTGAAGCATCGCAAGAAAGAATCGAGGGTTTTTGCGGATCGTAAACAGTCAAACATGGCTCTGATGATAAAATCTGTTTTACTGTGACAAAAGCGTTTTCTTAAGCTGGTCCCCAAAAGAAATCGTTTTTAGTCTTTAACAAGCTCGTAATTGGCTCCAAAATCTCACTGCGGTTCGGAATAAATTTTGCCAGAAAAGTGATCATGCCCATGAATCTTTGTACTTCATTAGGGTTTCTTTGAGCTGGTAAGTCCACAATCGCTTGTACCTTGCTTGGATCAGGCTTGATTCCGTCCTTAGACAGCACAAACCCCAGAAATGTCATAGTCTTCTTGCAGAACTCCGACTTCTGCTTATTCAAGGTGATTCCATTAGCTTGCACTCTCTCTAGAACGGCCCTAAGACACTCGTCGTGTTCTTCTTTCGTTCTTCCCCATATCAGACAGTCGTCAATGTGCACTAAACAGTTCTTTGCCCCTTCTAAAGCTTTTGACATGCGGCGCTGAAACTCTTCAGGAGCGGACGTAATTCCAAAAGGTAACTTACGGAATTTATACCTCCCAAAAGGGGTGATAAATGTTGTGTAATCTTGTGACTCCTCTGCAAGGTTCAGTTGCCAGAACCCGGAATTCGCATCGATCTTGCTGAAGTACTTGGCTCCCGCGATCTCGGCCAATGAAAGTTCGATCTTTGGGATAGGATAAAACCGACGTTTCACACTGTTGTTGAGTTTGGATAGGTCTACGCAGATCCTAACCCCACCTCCCTTTTTTGCACAAACTACCATTGGTGCGCACCAATCAGTCGCGTGTTCAACTGGAACAATCACTCCTTTCTCAAGCATATCGTCTAACTGCTCTTTCACCTTGGTTTTTAAAGGTATTGGAACAACCCTGGGGGTGGATATAGTGTAAGGAACTGCATTCTCCTTCATTTCAATCTTGTACTCTCCTTTCATATTTCCCAACCCTTGAAATAAATTAGGATACTTAGTAGCCCAGTCAATATCATGTGAATCTACAGAAAAAATTCTCCTCACCAGGTTCAGCTCTTCACAGGAACGTCTGCTAAGAAGTGGAACAGTGATCTCCTCAGAAATATACGCAAGATCATAAACTGATACACCCTTATGTTCAAGCTTTAGCCTTAAAGTTCCCAAAATATTGATTCGTTCTTTCTTCTTTGCGCTAAACACAGGGGATTTGCACTTTCCTAGAGGCAGAGTCTTAATAAAATCACCAAGAACTCCTACTGGAATCATGGTTACATCAGCTGCTGTGTCAAGTTTAAATTTTATAAGACCTAAATCTTGGTTTCCACAGCTTGCTTTTACCTCCTGGACCCAGGCTTTGTCACTGCTGTCTATATTCCCTATGAAAATCTCAGGAACCTGTTGATAACCACTGTCTGAATCTTGCTGTTCGATTTCCTTAACAACGTTTTTGTTTTTTCTCATCCACTTTTCGCGGGAGGGACAACATCGAAAAAAATGTCCAATCTCGGAACATTTGTCACATTTGGCTTTCCTAGCAGGGCATTCGGCCAGTGATCCGTGCCAGTTATAACCACATTTCCTGCACTTTTTTCTCATAGCATCCTCGGTGAATTTCTGTTCACCAGCTCTTTCAGACAGATTTGTTTTACCGACTTGTATTGACGTTTTATTCACCATAAAAACATTAGTATTGCCGAGCTCACGTTTTTGGCGTTCTAGCTCCTCGTGTTTGCGCAAGGTATTAATCGCCTTCTCCAGAGTCAATTGAGAGTCCAGCTGGAGTCTATCACTTAGAGCCTCATCTTTCATACCAATAATGAGGACCAGAAGTACCATCTCATCGTTCAGTTCACCCCATGCACACGTTTTTGCAAGACCATGCAAATCTGTTATGAATTTTTCAGATGGATCACTCCCTTGCTTGTGTCTCAGAAATTTTGTTCTCTCATAAATGATATTTCGTCTTGGCACAAAGTATGCATCAAAGGCCCGAAGAGCCTCGTCATAAGTATTCGGCTTTGGTGAAAACGAATCGAAAATATCTTCACTCCTACTACCCATTGTAAACAAAAGTACATCGATTTGCCGAGCGTCGGAAGTGCTATCTAGACCGCACCCCCGTCTATACCTTTGAAAGCAATTCCTCCAGGAATGCCACTCATTCGGAGTAAAAGAGAAGGTTTCTGGAGTTGGTAACGTCAGATTTATCATAGGAGTAGGAGTACACATTACTGCATTATTTTCTCGGTTTGTCTGTCCCAATGCAAAACCTAGTGACTCACCTTCAGTCTTTCTAGAATCCCTTTCTGACATGTAGTTGAATTCACTTTGGGCATCCTCCTCATTGTCCTCATACCTTTGCCTACGAGTATTTAGTTTTTTTCTGCCCTTACTTGACATCATGCGTGGTTTTAGACTTTGTTCGATAAAAAATCCACTAAGCTGCCACCATGTTCTATTTCTTATACAAGAATATTATTCACACATCTTGCTTGAACAAACTCTATTTTCAAAACTCAACCAATGTTTTCAAAAACATCTGACAACAAACATACTTAAACACATGATAAAAAGAACAGACTTAATACAACAGTTTTTTATACAAAAATATTTGTATCTGTTACGTTATTCATTTGATGATTAAGAAATTTAGTAAGCATGTTAACATACACAAGACACATTATAGAAAAAAACACAATGAAGTTGGTATGATTGTAAATTTCAAAATGGGTGGCCTTTTGAAGTTTTATAACTTAAATAACTCAAAAACAGCTAATTTTATGAAAAAATGAGTTCAGCTGTGGTGATTCGTCTAGTGACCATAGTAGCCTTCATCCGAATCGCAATCAGACACAATGAATAGTTGGATCAACTGCAGTGGAGAAACGATCCACATGGATATTTGTAATAAAGTTGTCAATACAGGAACCACCACGTTAATTATTACTGGGAATAATTTACGTAAATTATTACGTTTGGACTACACTCATCTCCATTCATACTTGGCTTAAAATATCTACTTTGTAAGGTCGCCATTTCAATGAAAAGTATTAAAGTATACCATGTGAATCCACAAACTACCATTTTCATCCAATTTATTTACGTTTTAACTAATTAGCAATTCTATTATTGAAACGTAGGAAAGAAATTGTTGCTATATTTCTATACCCAGTGCAACATATCATATGGTGTGTGATTCGGTATGAAGTTTATCCTCTATTATCATAGTCTGTGTAGCAAGTCTATTAATGACATCAGCAGCTCACATCAGCACATTATCCCTGCTGAAGTAATCTCTGACCCAACTCAAGTATGCGCTGAGCGCTGATCTTTCAACTAATACTGATTACCTTTAGGGCTTATCCTTAGTAACAATGATACTGGAATCAAGAAATTTGAATTTATTTTGTACTGGTAGAAATATTAGCTTTCTGAACCAAGCGAAATTAATTCAGATTCTTAACTCTGAAATCGGCAGGGGAACAGTGTGTATTTAATCCTGCTTTCAAATATACTTAATACTAAAGTAACATTTTGAAAATCTTGCTGAACCCTGGGAATTTTTCCTTCACACTTTTTATGTATCTTTAATCAATGCATTAGGCTTAATTAGATTAAGCATTCTTTAGGCAAGAAATTGTAACTTTCTGCCTCTACAAAATGAAGACAACAGATATTTTTGTAAACCTGAAGGGGAATGTTCAGACTTTTTATAGTATTGTCAACGCAACAAAGTTTAATGAAGCTTAAGCTTGTATTTGTCTTATTGTTGACTTGAAACCTGTTTATGACTTATCGGTCAATTGAATATCTGCATATATGGTGTATTTTAACTTAAAGCTCTCACCGCACGCTTTCTCCTATGTTACCACACATGATACAGTAGTGAGTAGTAGCATTGTCTATATATACCTACAGTAGTACAGTAGTAGTTTACAGTATGTGAGCATGTTTAATCAAGGATGTAGGAAAAGCGAGCATCAACAATCAACAGTAACTGATATTGCCAGTTCAAAAAATCTATCATTGTCCCAATAGAAGCAGTGTTTTAGCAAAGTAGTCTACGTTAATTGCATTGGGTTAAATTTAGTGAATACATTATGTATACTGTGACCAATTTACACATAATAGATGAGGTTGATTTCATCCCACATTAAAAATTATGTGGGGAAGTATCTAATAATAGACTACATAGTAAAACTATTGGGCGGGTTGTGGTCTGATATAAGTACAGTATTGTTCTTAAAGGAATGGAAGTATTCCTACTCTAGCAAAAGTAGCCTATTGATTAGGTTTGTAAATTCAACACGCCTGAAAATAGCTTATTTTGTTCTTTACTACTCGAATATATTTTTCTTAAATTTAATTGCAAAATTAGAGGTACTTTTTTTAGCTTTTTAGTTGTGTTTTGAGTACAAGCTTGGGCCGATCGATTATACTCTCCCATAGGTTTCATACATTTAATATCATCATAATTTTATAATAGGTGACAATTTAATTTTGTGCTCCTGTTCATTTCATATAGAATGTGTTCCGATAGTTTTTTCTTAATTCAACTAAATGGACCAGTTTTGACCAAATATAGCTATTTATTTTAACTCTGTTGCTAGTTTCTGATATTGTTACCAAAAGTAATCAACTTAGTAATAAGCTTTGTAAAACGCACATTAAATATAAGAGTAATGTTTGGTTGACATAAGCTTTGTACAATTACCTCGTCACAGCTCCGTAGTTTCCGTACACGTACTCATCATGTGCGCGACAGGCCTGTCTTTCGTTTTTTATTTTTTAAATGTTTTAAATGTTTGTTATCGTGTTACGTGTGTGTATCAAGTTTGACGACGCCAAATCCGGTGGATGTGTGTATCTGAGGATGGCATTTTGATGCCGAAACGGCCGTAATATATACGGAAACTACGGAGCTGTGACGAGGTAATTGTACAATTATAGTATAGTCATCAATGGGGCTAAACCATGTCTATTGATTAAAACGTAAACCAAATAATCTTTGGTTGTTATGGTAGGGATAAGCATACTTGCGATATCCAAAGTTAATGTACCTACTGTATGTGGTTTTCATTATGTATTTTAAAAATCAATTTGCCATCATTGGCTTCTCACACTACAAAACTCTGTTTAGCGTTGTCTTTAGGAACACTAACCAACAATTAATTATTTCAATTACTTTAACAACCTTTTTTGTATTAAGTTTGAACTTAAAGTTCTCGGGAGCAATGCTACAGCTGGCTAATTGATCATATAACATTTTGTACATTTAAATTGATCCCTTTTCCTTTTTACTACAACTCCACAATCTACCGAGCAGTGAATGTATTTCCATGTTGATGGTAAAACAGAGTAGCCTAATAAGTGGCCATGTACGGCAAGCCATGTTGATATGGTGATTGTAGTTAAATTGTAAACATGAGGACCAAACTAACTGTGTTTGTAAAATTAGTTACCTGCGGCAGTCCGAGAGATATGGGTTGTTTGTATTGTGCCTCTGACAGTCGATTCTAGCAGAAATGTATGGTCTATGTTTAGCAACAAGCTACTGATAATGGAGTAGGCTAATCGGTGAGCTCTAACAAATACATGAGACTTTTTGATGGTGGAGATATTCTTAGGGATGAAAAAAACGAGGGTCCATCCAAATTATAATTTAGGTGTTCATTGATTGGTTTACCATGACTCTGAAAACCTGGGTACCTAGTGTAAGCTGGAAGAGTAGGCCTTATATAACGTCGCTACCCACTGAGTTTAGCTGATCTAATAGCCTCGATGTATTTCAATATAGTCAAGTTTCAGACTTAAACCTTGGAGACCTAAGTACATCTAAGGCTTAGATTCTAAGTATTCGAATGCATTGTAAAATTTGAGAAGATAAAACCAGAAGAAACGCAACAGATTTTTTCTTGTTAAAATTAAATAGACACAGTTTTAGTTTAAGAAAAACACGTTAAAATTTAACTGAGGATGTTCTATGAAGTATTCTATTGATCTTAATATATTTTACCACACGACAATTATCAAAAATTAATTATATCATGTATTTAATTTTTCCAACTGTTCTTGCCTTTTGAAATTAATTTTAAAAATTCAAGTTAAACTGTCCTGAACTGAAGATGAAACAGTAACTGTATTGAGCAGTGTTAAAGACAAATATATAAAGTTATTTCATAAAGCATTTTTTAAAGTTTTGCCGTTTCAAAATTCTTAGAGCATTGAATAGTGTAATTTAATATATTTTCATTTTAATATATAGTGTCCAGGATATGAAGGTGGTTGAGTATGCATGGAAAGGCTGACGCAATTTTATTTCTGATTGTTCTTATAGGCAATAGTGATCATGAAAACGCATGTTGTTGCCCCCCAGCGTTGTCGAAATTCACGGGTTGGAGGGGGGCAATATGGGGGGGGGGGGGGCGCCGTTTACAGAAACGTAAAACAATTTGAGATAGAACAGTGCAACAAGTGCCAGTTTACTCATAGAAATAAGAGCTTTAAAAATGGTTATTATGTTTAAATCCGTATCTTGGATGGGTTTTTAGCTATACAGATTTTGTATAAAGTATTAATAGATTAGGCAAAAACATAATAGATGATACAAAACATAACATTTAATATAGAAATTTAAGCGGTTACATTTTTAACATATTTGAGTTGTCATTAAAATAATACTGAGGATAGACTGTGGCATTGGCCAGTGACAATATGCGTCGTTTAGACACATGGGATTTATAGTTTTCATTATTAGTTTTTATCTGGATTTTTAATTACTTAGTACAAAAAGTTGCTTAATAACGATTTACAGAGAACACTTTCCTCAATTTACATGAATTTATATACCGATGGGGATTTACCTCCGAAATATGTTTCTTTAAAACAAAACATAGATCACATCATCCGATTAAAATTACTCATTTACTTTGCTTAACAAACTCGGACATTGCACCTGTTACACGTGCCTGAAGATAACTGATAGTCAAAGCAGCCAGAGTCTGGGCAATCGATTGGTTGAGCCTATTGAGAAAGCAAATACAACACATTTTAACACAAAAACGACCAACCTCAACAGAAGAACTGACAGGATATTGTGAAATACTAATCAAATCAAATCAAAAGTTCTTTATTTATTTCATGCACATTGGTATATATACATAGTGCCAACTGATTACATTAAAAATACATCAGTAATCAAATCTTGACTATGTAGGCCTAACACAATTTGTCCGCGATTTTAGTTCTTTTCTGAACGAAGGTGAAAAACTTATCTAAAGAATACATTTTTTGTTTATTATGAATTATTTGAGTTTGGTCTTCAAATTTCCAATCTTATTTTCAGATTTTTTTTTTTGTAAATCCACAAAAAAATTCTTTCCCAAATATGTTGTTTTTTT